GAGCCCCTGTCTGCCGCCCGCACCGTCCCCAGCCCAAACCGGCTGTATCCTGCGGGCACTCTCATCTGCCTCCTCGATTTCTTCTCTCTCGTCTTCCCCTCCTTCTCTCTTTCCTCAAAAACACCCCGAGGCTGCGCTTTCGGCTGGAACGCAACGCGTTATTGCATTTGCGGGGGTAGAAAGAGAGAAGGCACCTGTCCTGCAGCACAAGCCCAAAAATCAGTGTAGAGAGCGCTGGGTGTGTTCGGGCAGGGGGCCAGCAGCACCAGGAGCAGCAGCGGGTCACCGGGATGCTCCATCCCTAAGCCAGACTTGGAGCATGAAGAGAGCCTGAGGGCTGCTCTTCACCCACACTCCAAGGACTCCAAGAGCCAGAGAAAACTGCCCTAATCCCGGAATTTATTCATGGGTTGTTTGAAACAAAGCATACCCTCCTGGAGCCTGTATCCAGGAGGGGCCAAGACCTATGTCCCTCAGATCCCCTGGCTGAAGATGCCGGGACATACAGAAAACACCTTCACTGCAGAGCAGTGAGCCAAAAGGAGCTCTTCTGCTGCTTTCTCTCACCCACTTATATTCACCTAAAAGATAAGGGTATTATTATTATTATTATTATTATTATTATTATTATTATTATTATTATTTTGACTGAGAGATATCTGTATTTGGCTTGGGGAAAGGCTGTTTTAAATTATTATTTTCCAACAGGCAGACTTACAGGACTTTTACTTCAAATGAAGTCTCATCAGGGATCAGAGTTTCACTTTTTTTTTTCCCCTCATTTCTGAACTCTTAAATAATTAGCATAAAATTACATAGTCACATGTGGAATTAATTGAATTAATGCTGCTTAAACTCTTTAAAACTTTCCTACCGAAATGAACCATTGCTAATACAAACTGAATTTTTCTGCTCTCCAGGCCAACTTTTGCATAGTAAGTAAGTGGTATTTATGCACAGGAAGGCCTCAGTGTAATGCCCTTTATTGCAAGTTCTAATAAAAGGCTGCTCTGTTTTGGCTCCTTATTAGAATAACACTATAAATAACCTCTTTGTAATGAGGGCTTGTTAAAAAAAAAAAAGTGAAACATTTTGCTCTAGAGCCTCCTGGTGCAGGTTGTGCCACCATCTGGTAGATCTGGCTTTCAGGGTAGATACACCTCCCAGAACTGCATTCCAGCTGGGGTAGCAAAGAGTGCCAGAAGGTAAAAAAATGCAGCCTTGGGAGAAAAGTTATAAACTACCTGATGTAAACCAACACACACACACACACAGACACACACACATAAACACCCAAACAAACTAACTAACAAAACTGCAGTTTTAATATACCTTGGGAAGGGTCCATAGTGCTTACTGAAGCAAAACTCAAGCTGATTTAGTTCTGGACTTAGTCTTTAGAATGGTGTATGTTATGCTTGTGGAAAAGAGCTTGGAGACACTGTTTTTTCCTACATTAGATTAATTTTACAGAAAGAGTGCTGTTGTGGGCAGTAATGGCACAATCACTCTTGAAGCAAGACCAGATGCATAACTCAGTGACAGCAGAAAATGAAAAATTCACCTGTGCTGAGCAAAAGATGATCTAAGGATCTAATGCAGTTTTTATTTGGATGATAGCATATTTAGAGTTTATATTTTCTTGCCTTTTTCCAGAAGATCTGAAGCAATACCATGCCTCCAAAAAGCTCACTCATCGCTTTCGTGAGCTGCTTTCAGAAATAGCATGCATCTGTTTCCTTTGTAATGCTTTGGTTTTTCCAAGGCAGTAACTTAGTTTTCACTTTTCTCATAGGAAATGTGCTTCGTCTATTGGCATTTGACATATTTCCCATCATCTTTCTGTTTTGTATGCTGTGAAAAAGCTCTGCTTGCAAGAAATTCCTACCATTTTTTCTCCCATATCTTAGTTTGAGTACCTAATACCACAAACATGCTTCTGTAGAGTCCCAGGTGGTTAACTAGAGCACAGGATAAATGACTACTAATGAAAACTTATGATTCAACAATTTCTCAATTTATTGTTGTTTAATAAAGGAAAGCCCAAGATAAATGACTTGTAGAGTCGATACATTCCCCACATTGAACAAGAGTGTTGTAAGAGTTTGAGAAAACTGCATATGAATTACAAACTCTGGTTCAGGTTACTACAGATTTGCTGTAAGAAAACTGCAGTCTCAGGAGTTGTTTTCTCAGTCAGCACTGATGGATACATACTGATTTCTCAGTACATGTTGATTGGAGGGAAATGACCAGGAGAACTAGGATTTTTTTTTTCTGAATGTCTGTTATATAAACTATGACTTTTACCTGAAACTTTAATTTCTAGTCCAAATGGCCCAAAAAGCATGAGCCTCCAGGGGAAAGGTGTGCTGTGAATGACAAAAACAGCCAAGAAAGAAGGCACAGTGGGCCTCAAGGATAAGCTGGGGATAAGTCTGGTCTCCAGTCCTGGGAAGACACCCACAGACTGAGTGCTAGCACCACAGAATCGCCCGAGCTAGAGCAATTAACCATCCAAAGAATTTGACTGCTGGATTCCCTTGAGGCAGGAGGCGATGGTGCAAGAAGTGGTGGAAATGCTCACATGTCTAATTCAGCAAAAGCAAGAGGACTGCTGCTGTCAGAGGACTTCCAGCCTGTGGTTCTCACAGTGCTTGTTTGTGTCTCTTCTGAGAAAGGCATTACAAGTATGTGCAAGCTGAGAAATGTGGCATTCCGGGAGTTCAGGCATTTGAGGGTTAAGGCTGCTCATATAATTGCAGTTTGGGCTCTTTCTGCTAATGCTATTTTTTTTATGACAACCTCAATTACTTAATCAGATAAGGATCTTTCCTGCAGCACTGCTGGCTGTGCTGTTAGTTGCAGTGTAGACCTTTCTGTCTGGTGAAAACTGAAGGTATTCATTAGAGCTCCACCTGTCTCAATGTGATGTAGCTTCCCTGAGCAACCCGTTTTTGAGATAGGGATGACCTTCAGACAACCACAAGAGGTTCTACTAAGCAACAAAAAATTCAGGAGCATTTTAGTTTTAATTTTTAAGGATTTACTAGGAGGAAGGTCAGTCTCTTAGCCATATCTTCACTTCAGAATATCAGTGCAGCTCCACTTTAATCACAGAGAGATATCTCGGTTGCCAGATTTAAAATGATAGGTGTCATGTGGGCACAAACAATACATGACAAATATCCTAAGTGTTTACGATAACTGTGAAGCATTGCCCATATCACAGTGTGCTAAAGCCTGTTTCCAGGGAGGAGAAACCAGCATGCAGCTGACAGCTGCTCCCTTGCTGAGCAAATGCTTCTTCACAGGCACCACAACCCTCGGCTAGCTATTTCAAAAAGGGAGATGGGGGGCCTTCATCAGAGTTAATTATTGCCAGAAAGAATAAGCTGCGGCCTTACTTTCCTGTTAGCCTGATTTATAAGGGCTTTTCTATTGCCATTTGTTTGCTTGTTTTCCACTAGCCTGCTAAAGTTTGCCAAGCTCAGTGGGGCAGGGAGAAGGGACTCAATATTTTGCAGTTGAGCTTGCTGTTGCTTTCCTATAGCTTTTTCCATATGCTGCTGTGGAGCATGTTGAATTTGCATGCAACTGGTATTATTTTTGCAACTTATTTTTTTCCTCTATGTGGCTATTCCTCTATTTGCAGCGAGAAATAGCATGCTACTCCACCAGACTAAACCATGGAGATGTGAATTAACATCCTCCACTTGATGCAGCGGAGCACACTCCAGTGTGACAAGCCACTGCTTAGCCCACAGGAATGAACTTATCCCTAATGCAGCCCAGGTCTTGGGCAGTCTCAGTGCCCCACCAGAAAGTAACTCAGTACAGTCATTGACACTACAAAAAGAAAATACTTAAATGGAGGGTTATTTTAATTTCCAGAATATTACTGACTGCTGTGTGTTCTTCTTTCTCTCTCCCTCCCTCCCCCATGATGTTTTCCCGAATTTTATTCCAGACTCTCAGAGGAGGAAGTGTGACCATGCATAATAACATTAAAAAAAATTATAGCTATAACCAAAAGACAGCAATCCAAACCCAAGTAAGGCAAGGGATGAAAGGACATGGTTCCTCCATCAACTCGTGGATACCTAGTTGCAAGTCCAGCTTCAGATACCAGAGCCCAAGACAATTTTGGGGGCAACCTGGGAATTCCTTCAGTCCTGCCAGGTTTGGAGTATGTTGGTATTTCTGCAGTTACATTGTAAAAAATACAAAGCAAGAACATGCAATCGGATAGCGAACGCTCGATGCCATGGGGTTTTACCTGAAAAGAATGTTAAGTTGCGCTGTGCCTCCAGTCCCATCCCAGAAGTCACTAGAAATAATAACAATAATAATAAAATAAATAGATTAAAAGAAAAAAAAAAGTGAAAACAGCTAAGTTTGCCCGGCAATTACTGAGCAGGATTTATCACGTCCTCTTGAAGCACATGCCAAGAGGCTTTAGTGAATCGAGGCCACAGGGGCAGCCAGGGATGGCTGGGTACTGCCCCTCGACGGCTGTGCCCGGCCTGTGGGAGACGTGTCCGCGGCCGGCGGGGTTTCTGCTGGGTGGGGCGCGCTGTGGGATGCGGGAAATCAGTGATCCAGGGAAGGTCACCACGCAACCTGTCAGCGGCGGTCTCTGCGGGAGGGCTCCGTGCTGCCCGGGCTGTGCCAGTGACCGCCCGCGCATCCCTCTCCCGGCACATCCCGCTCTCCCGGAGCATCCCGCTCTCCCGGCGCATCCCGCTCTCCCCGCGCATCCCGCTCCCAGCGCATCCCGCTCCCGCGCACGCCGCTCCCTCGCGCATCCCCGCGCACACGCCGCCCCGACACCTTTTCCCCCCAGCGCCCTCCCGGGCCGTCTCTTCGCCCACCGCCGCGGTCCCTCCGGCACCGCCCGTGCCCGGGGCTGGATCCCCCCGGCCGCCGCCCCCGCTCCCCCGCGGAGCCGCGCTCGGGCGCCGCCGCCGCCTCCCCGCCCCGCCGCCGCCGCCGCCGCCATGGCGGAGCGGAGCCGCGGCGCTCGGCGGCGGCTGCTGCTGCTGCTGCTGCTGCTCCTGGCCGGCTCCGCCGCCAGCCCGGCGGAGGAGAGCGGCGGGCGGCGGGAGGCGGGCGGCGGGGAGCACGGCGAGGAGGCGGCGCGGCACCACGACTCCTCGTACGGCACCTTCGCCAGCGAGTTCTACGACCTGCGCTACCTCTCCGAGGAGGGTGCGGCGGCGGCCAGGCCGGGCGGCGGGGCCGGGCGGGGCGCGGCGGGCGAGGGGCCCGGGCCGGGAGGGAGCGCCGGGCCGGGGCGGGCGGGCGCGGGGGCGGCGGGCGGGAGGCGGTGGCAGCGCTGTTCAGCACGAAGGCCAGCGCCCGCCGCCATCTTCCGCCGGCCCGGCCGCCTCAGCCGGCGCTGCCGCTCGGGGCCGGGGCCGCAGGGTGCCCTGCCCCGCGCTCCGCAGAGCCGCCGCCTCGCTCCGCGGGCATCCCGGACATGGCATCCCCGGGCACGGGCATCCCGGTCACGGCATACCCGGGCACGGGCATCCCCGGGCACGGGCATCCCCCCGGGCGGGAGCTCAGGCCGGGGGCCGTCGCCTCCCCTCAGAGCGGGGCCAGCCGGCGGCCCCTCGCCTTCCCCTCTTGCAAAGCTTTCCGGGCTGGTAGCGTAAAAAGGTGTCCTGGAGTGTGAGGGCTTCGAAAGGACGTGTGATGCCCTAGAGTGTCAAGAAGCAGCGTGGTCGTGCGTTTTTGGTGTGGCGTTTTTTTTTGAATTTACAAATGGTGGAATGTTAAATCACCACTTTTGCAGCTAGGCTGCATGGAAAACCATTTGTTCAATGGATTTGAAAATAAGTAAGGAGTGAGAAAAATGCATGTCCTGTGACCTGTGTTTCAGTAATGCACCGCTACACGCTGGTGTGAAATTCTGCAAACTTATTAATGCAGGGTAATTTACCTGCCCTTGATACAGTTAGTGTAACTGTGATTTGCAGCTTGCAGCATACTTTCTCCATTACCATTGTCAGAAATCTAGGGAAGTAAATCAGGGCTCCTGAATGCCCTAAGTTGTGTAGGTCAAAATTTGTGTGCTGGTGCTGTAACTAACTGCAGTGTTCATTTCCCACTCAATGAAGCACTTTTCCTACTCAATGAAGCGTTTTCAGAGGACTTTCTAGTTCCACAGCTAGCAATGAAGCGTTTTCAGAGGACTTTCTAGTTCCACAGCTAACACTTTGGTTTTTAAATGGATAAGTAAAAGAACATCCTATTAAAATATCTGTGCTTATGCAACAGACACCAGCTCCCACAAGCCAAGGCTGAACAGGTCTGTTAGTAAACTTTCTCACTTTTTCTTTGGTACTATAATCCAGAAGAAGGGATCACTTGGAATCATAACTCTCACTGTCTGGCACTTCTGGGCCTGCCATCACAAGTGATTGAAGGCCATAACTTCAGGCAATTCCCTGCCCTGATACTCTCTTACCTTTTACTGCAATGTGTGTTTTATTTTACTTCATAAAGGAGGATGTATTACAAAGTCTTTTCAGTATCAATTCCTACAGCTCTGCATCTGGTGCCCTACCTGCATTTATACCTAATGCTGTCATTTATGGCTAAGGACTCAGCTCCCTTACGGATTTCCTGAGGGGACTATGAGTGCACAAGGAGAGAGTGCACTGCAATAGTCCATGATCCTGTTGCCTTACATTTAACTTTTTCTCTCCAGCATTCTTCTCTCTCCTTGATGAATGTAGGAAACCTTAGAAAAGTTTTGTTTTCAGTTATTTATGTTACTTTGTTACTTGGTCCAGGACCATCTGAGCAGTGGGATTTGTACATGACAAAGTAGTCACTCATCTGAATAGTTCAGTTATCAGCAAAGTAAATGCTACTGGAAGATCTTCTCTTTAGTATTATTGATTTTTAGTCCTTGTGTTTTATTTAGTAATGGTTTATTCTGATTATGCAGGTTACCCTTTCCCTACTGCTCCTCCTGTGGACCCATTCGCAAAAATCAGAGTGGATGACTGTGGAAAAACCAAGGGATGCTTCAGGTCAGTCTGAGATAAGAGTCTAGATACCTTTATGTTTACAGATGCTGACTGATGATATTGGAGACTCTGATTGGTGTTTCATAGTAATTTTAATAAATGTTTGTTATTTAAGACCATAGTGCTATGGTATGGTCTTATTTGAGGACATATATTATTTGAGGACATTAGTTTATATAAGAATACATGTCATAGTTATGGACCTACAGGTCTTTCTTGTGTTTTCATGAAGCACTAAAAAAACAGAGCAAGGAAGGTCAACAGAGTAAAATTTTGTGTTATTGTTTGCTGTAGTGTTTGAATGCTATACACTAAAAGAGTAATACTGACAAAAAATTAATGCTACTTTATGTCCAGCAGAATATATGCTTTACTGCCATTACACCAAAATACATTCTTTTAGTTTTTTCTTTCAAAACCTTAATTAAGTTCCATAGCAGGAAATTTCAAGGAAAATGGTATGTATATTTCCAATTCCATTTAGGTATGGTAAGCCTGGATGCAATGCAGAGACTTGTGACTACTTTCTAAGTTACCGCAGAATTGGAGCCGATGTTGAATTTGAGTTGAGTGCTGACACAGATGGCTGGGTGGCAGTGGGATTTTCCTCAGACAAGAAAATGGTAAGATATGTACAGCTTTTCATGTTGGCAATATACATTCACTTTCACATGCTGTGACATAAATGGTTTATGTACATTTATATATTTGATTGGTGAGAAACAGAGCACGTAAGGTAAAACCGGCTTGCTGAAAACAAAGCACCATTCAGTAGCCCCCCTGGGAGCACTGCCTCACAGAAAACTGCTTCATCCTTCCTAACATCTCCTTTCCCTTCTTCTCTGAGAACTACAACAGTATTTCAGTTCAGCTCTGAATGTTTGAATGTCACTAGCTTTTTGCCTTTTCATTAGAAAAGCCCTCAGGGATTAGCCAATTCACATGGAAATGTCCTGTTGTGCTTTATGTCAGTGTAATTTGGGCAAAAGACACATCATAAACTGAATAGCAAATAATTGTATTCTTGAGAAAGTCAGCTGACTTTCAGCAGTATAAATTTTTATTTCACTTTTGTTTAACTTGGGAAATTTTTTGGTTTTTTTCATACCCATGTGTTGTTCCAGAGAAGCCACAAATGTGTGAGAAAATGACTCCTGCTAATTTAAACATTTATACTCAAGAAGGCAGTCTTGTTAAAATTTCTTCTCTCTCCTCTGGATTGTTATTGGGTTCTGTTTTATGCTGATTCCTGTACTTACTTTTTAATTTAAAAGCTTCATGTTTCATTGAATTTCAATGAGCAAAACAGAAGCATGTAATGTGTGGACTTTAAAAAATGCGGGCAATAAGATGACTTATGCAAAGATGTTTTGTCTGTGATCCTTGGTAAAATGTTTAGGATTAAAATGCAGTTTATAATATTGGTGTTCATGTACAGAAACTCTCCTAAGTTTATAGAACAATACTGGACGTATGTCCTAAATCACAAGTCAAAGAAAGGACTGTTTCTTGTGGTGTTGAAAGTAGCAGTCTGAAAAAATACAGGAACTAGATGTCCTGGGATAGGACCCCTCCATAAAAAATGAATTGGAAGACTTGCACTGACTTAACAGCAGTTTTATGAAGTCCCATCCTCCCAGATTGCTCTCTTCAATTCACTCTTGTTTACACTTTTTGGGCCTGAAGCTGCAACAATGTCCTTGGTTCTTGGCTGGAAAAGGATTGTTTTGTTTAACTAAGCTGTGAAGAGAATTTGCTAACACTTTATATGAAATGCAAAGTTATATACTGATGCAGTACAGAATCTGAAAAATATGAAAGCTATAACTTAAGGCATCATTTGACCGAAAATAGGAAATAGAAAGAAAATGAGAGGACAAGTGCTTCTCAGTCATTACTACATATGTTTTAATATGACACTGTAAATAAACACAAGACAATAGAAGGTTTTTGTGTCATAAAGGACGGTTCATGTCACAAGAAACAGTTTGTGGTTTTGATGCAAAGAACAGCTTTATAGCCAAATTTTGAGAAGAGTTTAGAAGCTTGCCAATGCAGGTACTCAACAGGGTTTTCAAAGCAGCTCAGCACCTCTAAGTATTTATCCCCAAACTATCAGATTGTGTTTCCAGTTTGTACCTCTGAGGTACCTGCAGTGGACCCCAGGGTCCCACTGCCCTCCTCTCATCAGCCACTTGGAAAGGAGGCACAGCAAGCAGCAGGTTAAGTCTGAGCTTCTGGTAAAAAGAATAAAAGAATTGTAAAGTAAAAGGTTTTGCTTCCAAATTTGCTCCACATATCATATAATGCCCATAAGTCAGCTGGGCTAAACCAGCTAGCCGCTCTCTTCCTGCTGACTTCATCTTTTTCATAACTTCCAGGATGTTTTGGTGTCCTGGGATGCACAGGCTTTGATGATAAAATGGCTCTGGGTCAAAACAGCTTAGCTCTGAGAAATGGGCTGTGCTTTGGAGGCCCTGATCAAAATGGTGTGGCCTGGATAGTTTCAGAAATTAAGAAAAAAAAAAACTATTTCGTGTCCTCAATAGATTTTTTTAAAGTCTTATGACCTATTTCTTTGTCTCAAGTCACATTATGCTTTTCCACTTTCAGGCTTTTGTGCCTCAGCAAGATTTCGAAATGTCATTCTGTTAACTGAGATTCAAAATGCCTTTTTATTTCCTCTTTAGTTTTCTTCCTTCAGTGTAAAAAAACCTTTATTTTTGCCTCTTTGTACTTAAGGATGAGGGATTTGTGCTTAGATATATATAAAAGTTAAACTTGGGAAATAAGTTATGGAGAGCAGTGATAGTCTCAAGACAGAGGCTGGAAAGGTCTGCAGCAGCACCAAGGTGCAGAAACTATTCAAGCATATGTTTTACCTAGTTGTCCCCTCTTTCCACCCACTTCTTGCACATCTTTTACAAATGCACATTGCAATATTCCCATAGTGCTGAAATGCACCCTTTCCCTCTCTTTTCCCTGTAACAAAGAATTAAGGGGTGATCACAGTAGCAAGCATCATGTCTTTCATCAGTATGACAGAAAGATATGGGAGGAGTAGGGCCTGTGTTTAATACAGCACTGATAGCTGTGGCACTCATCCAGCTTGGATAGTGCTCTGATGGCTCTTGGTGCTAAGGCTTCTATGAGGTAGTACTTCTGAAGTTCCTGCTAACCCTGTGCTCTACCACTCTGTCAGTCACCTTGAGTAACTACTCCAGCAACTGCTTTAGTATTTCCATGAATCACCTCTACAAATAAGTGGCTCCTTCTCCCTTCTGTCTCTTGGTTCTTTGGTGGCTGCTTATGCTAAGTGAAGAAGCACATATTGATTACTTTTTTTCTTTGTATCTTGTGGTATACTGTATTCTGTTATTACAACATTTCTTATAAGAAAAAAGAGATATGAGAAATGATGTTCCCTAAGTGAACATGAGAAGAGATAAGAAAACACTTACTGTAATCAATGCTATTATTTTCTCATATGCAGTAGGTTTGTTTCCTCTATCTCACTAAAGTTTATTGGTTTTATGTCCATGATTTGATGCAGTGGATTTTGTACACATCAGGGATTCAAGACTGCAACACTTTATGAAGCAGTATGCCAGAACTTCACAAATAACAAAAGAAAGCAGCCTTCCATGGATCAATTAATTATGTGATGTCAGAGTGATATCATATTCTACAAATATATGTTAAGTAAAATAACTCCTAGAAAGATCCAAAAGAGAATTCACAGGTAGTAACAGTATGTAGTTATTGCTACCCACTTAACTTTTCAATCTTACTGAAGACACCTGATTAGGGATACAAATATTTGTGTATATATAACTTGGAAAGAAGAAAAGAGCATCCCAGGTCTTGATTAGCTTTGAATAATTAAAATTATATACATAAATGAGGAAGTTTTTAATGACCCTTTTGTTTTCAATCTTCGATTTTTTTTAACCTTGTAGGGAGGCGATGATGTCATGGCTTGTGTTCATGATGATAACGGAAGAGTCCGAATACAGCACTTCTATAATGTTGGTCAGTGGGCTAAAGAAATCCAGAGGAATCCTGCTAGAGATGAGGAGGGGGTTTTTGAAAACAACCGTGTAACGTGTCGATTCAAGCGTCCTGTCTACGTTCCCCGAGAAGAAACCATCGTGGATTTGCACTTGAGTTGGTATTACCTGTTTGCTTGGGGCCCAGCAATACAGGGTAAGTTGATCTCACCAACTGAGTTGAAGTGCCAGAATTGATGAATGTCTTTCAATTACATGATTCTTACTAGACACACCCTCTCCCCACCCATTTTTTTTTTTTTAAGAACTAAAATTCTGGCAGCATGAGTCTTAAAAAAGAAAGACAGGACATGTCTTGTTTTCCTGGCTATATATCTACTATTCCCATTTCTTAAAGCTGAATTTAGAAGAATTTCATAACTAGAAGTTCTTAATTCATTTGAAGGATGTTTGTTGTTTACTTGAATTTCATTTGTACTCCCTGACAGTGTAATATTGCAGGCTTCCATAGGTTTGAAAATTACCTCCCTGCCTGTTTCCTCAGCAGAGTTATAGAAAAAATTGCATCTGATGTTATTTCTTTCTGCTAAAGGTTCTATAACTCGTCATGATATCGACTCTCCACCCGTGTCAGAGCGTGTTGTCAGCATTTACAAGTACGAAGATATTTTCATGCCTTCGGCTGCCTATCAGACCTTCTCCTCTCCATTCTGCTTGCTCCTCATTGTTGCACTGACCTTCTATTTATTGATGGGAACCCCATGACCAATGGGAAATAGCAAGAATTTGGCAGTGGAAGTTTCTCAGGATGGACAGCTATATGGATGGACAATGCATTTTTCTTTTGGAATTTATATCACATCACCATCCTCATCTAGCTGCTTTTGAACATAGTTAGCTTCTCAGAAGAGTGAAATAACCATCTCCCTTGAGTGGCAGAGTGGTGACAAATCATTTAAGAAAATCAGTGAACACATTGGAGAGTATTTTCAGTGTTGTGATTACTTGCTTAAGGAAAATGAGACTTTTGTAAGATCAATGTGTGTATGTGTGTGTTTGGGAGGGGTGCCTGTATGTGTGTTCAGGTGAATTTAGTGATGGACATCTTATCAAATGACAAAATTGCCTTCCAAATTGCTACAAAAAAGCAAATTTGGGAAAACACTGCAATGCTGTTTGGTACTTCTAGAGCAGAGAGCACAACTCCAAGTGCAGTTCCTAATCTTAAGACCTGGAAACCAACACAGCAGTATAAAAACTGCCCTTCAGTAGTGCATAGTTCTCTCAATTTTTTTTTTTTATATTTATCAAAGTGTACTTGCTGTAGTACTTTCCAAAACTAAACTTGCATATTCAAGCATTAGCATGATTTTTTTTTCAACAGAAATAGGTGATGAATGTCTTTATTGTGTTTCAATAGCCTCTTTGAAAGAAATGCCTACTTCTTTTAAAAGTGAGATATAAAGTAATTTAAACAAGGGGAAGGGAGAATACAGCAATATAAATTCTCCATACATAGGAAAACCAGGTGTAAAACATGCAGAATATAAAAGTTCCCAACAAGCCATAGGATGTCCTCCTAACAGATTAAATCAATGTTTCTCTTTTTATTAAAAAAAAGCAATTTTGCTGGCATGTAAATATATTTTTAAGTAATTGTGCAGTAGTATGAAGTAATCTCTTTTTCTGTGTTGTATGCCACTAAATCCTGTTCATGTTAAGGGTGACTGTAGGCAGCTGGTGTAATCTTACAAAGAAATATAAATGAGATTACTTGTAAGGAAAGACAGGGATTAATAAGAACAGCAGTATCTTTCGTTCATCAAACCACTGCTAAAATATAGGTATTGTGGAAAAAGATGAACTAAAAAGGAAATACATTAGCTGTTTTTATCACCAATAAATAGTACAAGAGGAATGCTAAAAATTAAAGAAATGAAAAGTGTCAAAATGTGTTTATGAGCCACAGACTATAATAAAAACTTGGAGTGAAGAATTTCTGTTCTTTACCTAAAAGGAACTGTAAGACACGTTTACATATAGCAGTCAAATGTGCTTGGTAAGGTTACTCATTCACTTTCCAACTTACACTAAAATTCTACTTAAGTAGAATTAAAGTCTAACTAGTGCCAAAGTTTTATCTAATGTGATACACTTGAGGACTCTGTAACATAGAATCTGGTAAAGTATATGTAATGCAACTCCTTTCTATTTTCATTGCTGCATGGAGTATAAAATGATTAATTAGCTTTGCATCATTATTCACAGATTGATGTCTGTAGACCTAAGTTTTCTTAGGCTCAGAATTCTTCAAACTTATATTTAAGGTAGATGAATTAGATTGAAGATGAACTTACATTCATAACAAACACTTTCTCCCTATTTCAAAAGATTGACTAATATTTTATATTTTCATTGATGTCTTTAAGGATTTGTTCACTTAAAATTACTGGACTAGAGTTCAGGGAAGAGAAATTCAGAAGTGAACTTCTAAATTGCATAGAGTAGCTTTATTTAGTATAAATTACTTCTCTCAGGTTGGTTAACTTACTCATCATCTGATCAAGTAGAGACCACCTAATAAGGTCTGCTTTGGCCCACAACAGCTGTGTAATTTAGCCTTAAGATTGGCTGGAGCAGATAAGCAAAAGCCTGGATAATGAGCTTTACATTCAGCAAACAGGTGAAGTGAAGAAATCATTAGGGTAAATTCTTTCTCTCAGGCAGCTGAGATATTGCAGTTCTTTCTCAGAGCCTGAGGGTTGCTTGGTTTTTACTGTTTCAGCTGTTTACTTGATTACCCACTAAAGGGCTAATTTATTAATTTAAAGGTACTGAACTTGGATAGAAACCCAGTTTGGCTTCTCTTTTCTTCTTTAATAGAGCTCTGGATTTAGGATAGCCTGGTTGGACCTGAGCACACAGGTATGTTATAGATGACAATAATAATACCAAGGTAAAATTGTGTGACAGCTATCAATCTGCTTTGTACATATATGGAGTCAGATGTGTTTTAAGTTCAGGATTTGAAGCAAGAGCAAAGTATTTTACATTATTTTTTATTCCTTTTTCAAATTACTTGTCAGTGTGCTGTGTTTTTGTCATCATATTTTTCTCTTGCTGAAGTACTAGCAGAAATCTGCACTTCTAAAAATTCTTTCATCTAGGCTTCACAGTACTTAATTAGCCTAATAAAGTGTTTCTAATCAAAAGGGAGGAAATAAAAGGCCACAGGAAGCAGCAAAACAATCTATTATCTGGCATTTAAATGGATGGTTGAGTTGAGCACTGAGTTTATCTAAGAGTTCCTCCTCACAGTGGGAAAATCAAGACTGTGGAGTTCAAGTTGACAAACAATGGAGACGTGAGTATCTAGAAGTTTGTAGTCAGGATGAAATCTGAGGAGAGAAAGGTTGTAAGGGAAATGTGGTATGTAAGCTTGTATGATATTTGGTAAGTCTTAACATTTGAGTGGGCATAGTTACTTGTCATGGAGACTATTTTGGTTTTCACATGTTGTCTTCTTCTTTTTCTTTTTAATATTGAAAAGCAGGATTTATTCCTGTTATACAAAATTATGATAAAGTAACATACTTCAAAGTAATTTTTAATTGATTATGGTATTTCAAAAATGTTTTGTTTTATTATTTTTTCTAATTGACTGGTTCTAATTGACAAACACAAACTAGAAGAAAAGGTGTGCTTTGGAAAAGGAGGTAGATATTTCCCTCTCCAAATATTTTTTTTGTTTCTTTAGTGTGATTGCTACCAAACAACTATTAAAGAACACATTTCTAAAGTGCTTTAATTTAAAGAATTTCTTGCTGCAGAGTGACTTCATACAGAGGCATTGAGTTTAGAGAGGGCATATTTAGAGTATGGTATTGTTTGGAAATTTGACTGTGGCTACTAATTAGAAAGATTTTCTTTTTGCATATTTTTTTTTCATTGCTGGTATCAAATAACTGGGTTTTTTTCAGGTATAGGTGAAATGCTAATTGATTTCCCTCTCAAAAAAATAAGCACCTAACTGATTTGGTAATGTAATTGGATAATGGGTGATTGTGTCTTCTGTTATTACAAGGGAAGTATTCTGTTTTTGAAGGAGAACGTATTGATGAGAAAAGTTTGAACTCCCTCTGTGGCCTTCTTTGTCTTGGTGGGTTTTGCACTACTTGGATAGTAAGAAAATAAACTCTTGCAGCCTCCCTAATCTGAAGAAACCCCTAGTCTGGTTTAAATGATGTTAAAGCTGTGTTTGGTACTGACTTTCCTAATCTTCAGCACAGGGATTAGAGAATGACTGGAGTGTGGTGTACAGCAGCATGGCACCACAAGTGCTCATGAAGCTCACTTGGGGCACCATATCCTGAAAACGAGCCCTGCAGCTGCCTCTATGTCCAAAGTAGCTAAGAAGTTATTTCTTAGTTACTGCTATAACTAACATAACTGCTATAAGTTCAAGGGAAGACAGAGACCCTTTTTTTTTTTTTTGTCTTCTCCTTACTTTCTCATCCCTCCAACACATGAGAGATTTACAAAAAAGAAAATTATTCCTGTTTTAGAGGGTAGACCCTCTGTCTGGCCTTTCACGTCTTTTCTTGGTCTGTTGGAAGTTTGCACCCTCCAATACTCCAGAGGCAGAATTAAAGTTTATGTGCAAATTATGTAACTTTAATAGCATTTAAATGGCATTTTGTTACTCCATGGTTTCATTAGTTTGGCACAATAATTCCCCCTCTTCCCCCCACCCTCTTCTTGTTTTAACACCTCCAAATAATTTCCCCAAATTAAAGTATTTGGTAATAGACATAGCAAGAACAAAATATGTATTTCAGAGGATTACATAAGGTCTAATACCAGTTATTTTCAGAAGTAGCTATTATGTTAGTGTTTTATACAAAAGATGACTTTGCATAGAGCATTAGATTTATAATAGAATCAGAAATACTTTTAAATATTACAGTGTTTCAGTGCTCCATGGAGCTGTGGATGTGCATGGCTTACAAGAATTGATATGATCCTTTTCAACCCCATGTAATGAAACTGGTAAAGCATTTTGCTTGAATGCTGCACAGTGAGGCATTGGTGACTCCAGACAGTTTGGAACAGAAGAATGGAGAGACGGGTAGTAAGGACAAATAACAAGGAAGGGCTAACGGTTTTGGCATAATTTCTGTTTTTGTATAAAGTTAAATGTGTCAGTGCCCGTCTGGCAGTCTTTATCCAAGTAGTATTTTATGTAGGGTTAGGAAGGAATAGAGTCTGACTTGAAAGAGATTTTGGCTGTCAGACAGGTCCCAGCTGTTTAAGGGCTGATGATCAGGTCAGACCATGCCACAAGATGTCCTCTGCTGTCAGGCTCCAAGTTTAGAGCTGGAGGCTTGATCTGGCCTTCAGAGGTACAAAAACCCAATGAGACCCCAGAGGCAACAGCAGCAGTCAGCTGCAGCAGGGAGTGAGTACCTGCTCAGTTTGTAGAATGGCCAGTGAGCAGGTACTCCCTGCTGGCTGCAGTCTGAGTATCAAAAGATGGGGGACTCTAAATCTTAACAGCTTTGTACATTAGCGCCTCTAATTAAAATTTTATTATCAGTATTTCTGTAGCAGTCTCTTTGGGCAGCTCTCCCTCAACCTGCCCAGGATAGAGACGGATCTAAAAGGAAGATTTTAAAGAAAATGTCAAGTCCTTGTGTACAAAAATTAATAAAAAAAGAAAATAATTTTTTAACCATATTCCAGCTTTTTACTTTTTTTTTCTTATCTAGTTATTTATATGCAGTTTGTATATCAAGGTATCTGATTTTTGCAAATACATGGTAAGATCTAGGTAAGCCTTCCTTTTCTAAACATTTTTTATAAATATGAAGTAATTCCTTCAGTAACTTTTTTTTTCTACTTTCACAGTAGGCTTGATAGAATTATATATGCTTAAACATGGTTACTTAACTTACCTAATTTGGGCTCAGATAGTGAGGCAAAAGCAGTGCAATTTTGAAATGTCAGAGAGGATGTGTGCAGCTTATGGAGTTGATAGGTGTGAAAATGCAGACTTAAAAGATATTACTTGCTTTGAAAATCTGTGTTACAACTTGGCAATAGCAATGAATCTGATGTAAAGAAGGGGAGATATTTTTTTTCCCTTGGATTACTGAGTATTTTGATTAGAACTCATAGACTATCTCAGGTTGGAAGGGATCCATATGGATCTTAGAGCCCAACAAACACTCCTCACAGGACTGCCTAAAACTAACCCATATGACTCAGAGCATCATCCAGATGCTCCCTGAACTTCCCTGTAGAGCCTGTTCCAGTGACTGGGCACCCTCTTAGACAAGAATCTTTTCCTAAGCTCCCATCTGAACTTCCCCTGACATGGTTCCATAGCCATTCACAACTGTTGCTTTTGCCCTCTTTCTGTGTTTCTTAGCTAAGTAGGAATGTTCTTCCAAACTAGTGTGGGGTTGGAATCAGTGCAGGACTTCACATCCTGTATCTTAGAACAGCTGCTGCTCCACATAGGCTCGATCTGATCTGCAATTAAAGGCTAATTAGGAATGTCCTTACAAGATGAACTTTCATGTGGCATTCTTAAGACATTTTCTGTAAAGGTGTTTTACTCTTTATAGACTTTATAGAGCATTACAAAATTACCAGTACTTTTCTTAGCTGCTTCTAAATGATTCTTAAATTCATATTTGCATTTTTGAAGAAGTAATTGGATTTTTCAGAAGTGCTGAGCAGCTGCAAATCTGTTATGGCTCCAGTGCTTACTCAGGGAAGCAAACATTTTATGGTAACTCGTGATTTAGCTTCATATCTCTCTCTTAGTTTTGACGTCATTCAGTTTAATTTCCTATGGTGGTATTGGTAGACGACTAAATAAATGAAAAAATCACTTAGATTTTGTGCCAAGGAATAAAAATATTCCTGCTGATTTTTCACAACAGTCATCTGTAAGATTTAGATAATGAAAAGTATTCTTAACAGAATTAATATTTAGGCAATGTGATTTAGCTGAAGGTATTTGTGTGTGCATGTAAAGTCTGAGAATTACACAAGATTATACAAGATAGTCTAAAAAAAAAAAGGCTAAATTCTCCTCTGGAGACAAGACAAAACACAGAACCTTACATGTTCCCTGACTCCTAGCTGATTTTGGGGAGACAGAATGATTGAGGAAGAAAATGTATAAACCTGAGATATTACGTGAGTGGTGTTTATGTTTGCAGTTCTTATACACACACCT